GAGGTCCATGAGCTCGAGGACGGCGGCGAGGTCACGAGGTCGAGTCCACGCAACACCGTGCAAAGCGACGATCTGCGGGCACTGGAACCTAGTAATGTCGTCCGGAGTGAGAATGACTAGGGTCTGTGTAGGGTGGGGGTAGGGTACGTACCGGTTCATGAGCTCGAGTTCGGCGATGAAGCTGCGAATGTCTTCGACGCTGCCGCGATTCGGAAGGAGCCGCTTGATGGCAACGGCCCGGCCACGAAGCGAACCGCGCCAGATCTCACCAAATGCGCCTTCGTTGAGTTTCTCGACGTAGTTGAGGTCGCGGATGGAGATCCGGATCGGTTCGAGCACATCAAGCTCGGTGGCCAGTCCGTCGGACGTCTCGACCTCGGCTACTCGATCACATTTATCACAAAGCGAAGACTAGAATTTGATACCGTAGCGGCGTCGGCGTATGTAGAGGACAAAGCCTGTGCCGAGGAGCGCGAGAAGGGCTGTGATGGCGACCGCCACAACCACCCAATCGTTTCCTAGAGATGCAAGGGTCAGGTTCTGGTCATATTTTTGGCGCAAAATACGGCTCTGTTGCGAGCTCGGAGGCATGTCGGAGGGTGACGGTGTCTTGATCGGGATAACGCACACCGACCACTTGTACATGGACTCGAGCGACCAGAGCGGTTGGAGTGCTGCGTCGTTGATGGCGCCACACGAGTCGCTGGCGACGTTGCCATTGAACGACGCCACGCCGGACTGCACAAAGTTGACGAGCGACGGTACGAGGCGGCGTAGAGCCAAATACGTCGTCCCATCGATCGAGATGTCGCCAAGTGCGGTGTTCACAGCCCCACTATGCCCTCATGAGCTCGCACAGTTGAAAGAGACGCACAAGTAGTCGATCGCATTCGTGAGCTTCAAGTTTTTGATACTCTGGAGGGCGCTGTTGCCACTGAGCTCCCTACGCAGCACCGCTTGTTTCCATAGCAGTTCACGTGAAACTTTGCAGTACAAGCACGTCAGGGCGGGCCAGGACATGTCTTGGAGCGATGTGAGCGCGTTGCCGCGCAAATCGCTACAAAGAAGAGAAACTTTACGGATAGCGATATCGCAAGCACTGTACAGATAGGTCAATGGCAGAGTTCGCAATCTCGTGATGTCTTGAATGTAGTTGCCACCGAGTCGTCTACATGCCAACGATGGTTGCCCTTTCCGTCTTGAAAGAGACGCACATCATGCGAAGGGTCGGGGGGAGGTTCGGGGGCAGCACACTCAGCTGGCCGTCAGTAAGCGACCTGCGCGGCAGTAAGCGGGCGTCAGCAAGCATTCTTGACGTACAGAGACTCGAGGTTCGACGGCCACACAATCGTCGGCGAGAGGGACCGCAGCTTGCACCGGTTCATGGCGCTAGCCGAGGGGTAATTAGATCCACTGCGAACGAGACCGCAGCGTTTACATCGAGGGACGGCTCGCCCGCGTGCTACTACACAAGAGGCGATGAACCTTCTCCTAGGTGCATCGATTTGCAGCGTACTTAAGCATTTTCGGAAGGACGAGCTTGGTGAGGTCGACGTATCCACCGCCACAGTCAAAGCCGCTAGCACATTCGATGAGCGCAGACACAACATTGGCACAGAAGCTACAGCGTCGCGTTGGCGTAGTTGGTGACGTTGCCGACGGCGGCGAACGAGTAGTTGGCCACAGTCTGTGCCGACAACTCGGTGTAGTCGGCCGACAGCATTTCGACCAGCGCTCTGTAGTTGTAGGTGCGGAGGAAGCACTGCTTGTTGAGCAAGCAGACAGGTGACGTCAGTGGGCAGTTGTCGTCGGCTGCGAGGATTGCCGCGTCGTCAGCAATCGCCAGCGAGCTATATGGGCACGGCGTCATGCTCGTTGTTTGCACTTTGACTTGCCAGCTTATGGCGCGCACTGTACATAGCCCTGACACGGATATAGTGTGTGTATCAATCCGGTGATCAATCCCGTCAAATTGTTAAATACTGTGCGTAAAAAGTAATTGGTGTAATAACACACGTGAAAAGCACGCGATCCAGACTCACGGTACTCGGTCGGTGTAGGTGCGTGCACGCTGCACACCGTTCACGCAGCCACCACGACCAAAAGCACAGACGTTAGGCACATGTCAGTGGGCTCGACTATTTCATGCGGAAAGATGCTTGCATCACCGGCACCTGGCAAGAAGTGCAGCCGTTTTGGGAAGGTAGAGTCCGTATCACAGAACGTGTTCTACGCCGAAGAAGCGCAGCCGATTGCATGAACGATCGCCACTATCGAATGATTTTAAATGTTTTGTCTCTATATGAAATAAAATAAACGTTTAAAAATCATTTCAAAACGTTTTTTTTCGTTTTTTTTGGTTCTTTTTGTGGGGCTGCAGTGGCAGTTCGCAAACCATATCGCGGCGACCGATGCCTCCCACCCCAGAAGCTTGTCGACAGTGTCTTTTGGCGCGGCCTGGATGACGTTCTTTTGCTCTTGGACGCCATCTTCAAGGCTCTCGGCGCACTTGAAGGCGACGCTGCTACGATGAGCACGGCTTACGCTTCCTTTGTCTTCGTCTATTGCCACCTCTCGACGGTCCATGGACTCGGTGAAGAACGCGCCGCGGCTCTTGCGTGCTTGCTGCGGCGGTGGGCCCGCATCTACTCACCCATGCATGC